AATGCTGACGCAGATATGTTGTCCAGATACCCAGTAGGCCTTGAACAGTACATGAAAGATCACACCGAGACAGTGTCACCTGAAGTAGTGTCTGCAGTGTGGCAAGGCAACAAAGCAACACAAAGCAATGATGTTCCCTGGATTGCTGCATTACAACTTGCTGATGAAAATGATAGGGCTAACCTACCTGATGATGTCATGACCATTATGCCTGAAAGCATCAGAGCAGCACAACAAGAAGATACAGCTATTAAAGAGATTGTGTCATTGAAACAAAGACACTGGAGTCCAAATGAAAAAGAGAAAAGAACCATGTGTAAAGAAACAAGGAGACTGTTGTACGAATGGAACAAGCTAGTTGTGGAAAACGGACTACTTTTCCGGAAAACTGAACTAAACAGACAGCTAGTTCTCCCGGAAAAGCTCAAACCAGTAGTGTTGAAGAGCTTGCATGACGACATGGGCCATGTTGGTCCGGACAAGGTGATCCATCTTGCTCGAGAACGTTTTTACTGGCCGAACATGCATCAAGATATTGAGGATTATGTGACAAAGAAATGTCAATGTATTAAACAAAAACATCCCAATGTCCCACAGAGAGCTCCAATGGGGTCCATCACAACTAGTGCGCCATTTGAGTTGGTCTCTATTGATTATTTGCATTTGGAGCCAAGCAAAGGAGGATACGAGTATATCCTGGTTGTCGCTGACCATTTCACTCGCTTTGCACAAGCGTACCCAACAAGAAACAAATCCGGAAAGACAGCAGCTGAAAAGATATTTCAGGATTTTATTCCTCGTTTTGGGTACCCAGAGAAACTACATCATGATCAGGGACGTGAGTTCGAGAACAGTTTATTCCAAAGATTACAACAACTCTCAGGGATTTCTCACTCACGCACCACTCCCTATCATCCTCAGTGCAATCCAGTGGAGCGACTGAACCGCACGCTTCTCCAGATGTTGCACACCTTACAAGAGGAGAAAAAGAGTGAATGGAAAGATCATCTGCCACAAATCGTGCATGCATATAATTGCACGAGGCATGAAGCGACAGGATACTCGCCTTTCTTCCTATTGTATGGCAGGGCTCCACGTCTACCAGTCGATTTGCTTTTTGGCACCAGGAAAGAGACTGAAGACTGCAACCATCAAACCTTTATTAAAAAGTGGGCTGAAAGGATGCGTGTGGCATACCAAATAGCTGCCAACAACAGTCAGAAGTCTTCAGCTAAAGGCAAAAAGCAATATGACAGACGTGCCAGAGGTGTCACTCTCCAGGCAGGGGATAGGGTCCTGGTTAAAAACCTCTCAGAAAGGGGAGGTCCAGGTAAACTCCGCTCATACTGGGAGCAGGCGGTGTACCGCGTGATTGAAAGAGTGGGGGATGGACCTGTTTACAAAGTACAGTTAGAGAGGGGTAACAAAACCATGCGTGTGCTTCACAGAAACCTGCTGCTGCCTGTCAACGACCTACCTCTGGAGGACGAACTTCCTGTGAGAGAACAGACAAAACAGAAAAGAAAGCGACAAACTGACGAACGTGAGAATGAACCTGAAATGCATGACTCTGATGATGAAGAAGCATTTACTTACCACTATAACCTCCGGAGCAGAATTCCGTGTTATGGATTTGTAAACCCACAACAACTACAGTCAAACATAACTCAAGATTCAGAACAAGAACATGTTGTGACAAAACAGAACCAAGAAAATCAAAATAATCTGCGTGCAACAGCTGAGGAGTTTTGTCCCTCTGAAAGAGAAGCCATTGTCCGTGAAAGAAGTATTGCTGAAACTGAAGAAAGATCTGAAATGTGTGAAAGAGATCAGGATCAGATGCAGATGGATGAAACTAGAGGGGAAAGCGATGTACGGAGATCAGAGAGAAGAGGAAGACCAACAGAAAGACTAACATATGAGACACTTGGCCAGCCATCATATAGCTGTTGGAGTGCAGGTGTTAGCCCGTTGCTATTCAATCAACCCTTCACAATGACACCTGGCCTACTGCCATTTCCCTATGTTCCATATCCACATCTGTATCAGCAGTACACTCCCATACAGTGAGACTCACAAAAGAAATTGTTAATGTCAGGAGACTTTTTTTTTTAAGTGAGGGAGAGTGTAGAGGGGTGAAAAACAAGGTATAAGTAAATAAAAAGAATAAGTAAGAAAAGATGCACCCAAAAATAATTTTTAATTTTGTATCTTTGACTTTTCATTGTAATAAGTTCATTAGTGTTAGTTCAGTCAGTTAGTGCAATTACACACACAACCGCTAGGGGCGCTGTCGCGTTGGTGGCATAGAGAAGGTTGAGCGCACATGTAGAGTAAATCTTCCGGTTGAGTGTGAAGGAAGCTTAATGTGTGTGTCTCGTCTTTCTCATACCACAGGTTAGTAGAAATATGGTTTTATACATATTAGTTCTCTTGAGTTGGAAAGGTTTTTAAATCGAATGTCAACTAATGAGTCGTGTAGTTCGTTTTGTGACAGCTATTGTGTACAAAAAGGCAAGTGTTCATGAAGGCTAATTGGAGCTAATGCTAGCGGATTTATACACGTGTGTGTGAGCTAACTGAGGAGCTAGCTGAAGGACTGCGGAGTTCATTTGAACTTGTACTTTGCACTTTTTGAGAGAGTTATTACTCAAATGACATTATGTTGGTTTCGTTATTGTATTTTATGTGATTCTTATGGGTTTGTTGAACGAAACCAGATAAACTATATATGTTAGTGTTGTGCCTTTTTCAGGCTCATTAAAAGAATAGTTGTTTTATGCAAGATATAAAATATTGTTTTATTGAAACAATGGACATTGTTAAAAGCTAAGATGCTTAAAAGTTAAAATATATTTTATTTGTGCTGATTAAAAATGGTAAAAACTATTAAGATAATTAAAAGCCATTTTACATATTTTTATTTTGATAGTTAAATATAAAAGGTCTCAGAAAAAAGGACAATGTATTTGATTTAAAGCACTAACTACAAAACTAATGTGATGTAGAGAAGTAAATCTATTTGTGAATTAATTTTGTCATTTGATGGAATTCATAATGCTAAATGAAACATGTTAAAAGAATAATTGTTTGGGTTAAAGGAATATTACAGCCAATTCTGATGTAATGAAGTTAATGGTTTTCTACTGCAGTATGTGATACCTGAAATATGTTGTATACGAAGTGTGTTTATAACACAGAAGTAGAGTAAATCTTCCGGTTGAGTGTGAAGGAAGCTTAATGTGTGTGTCTCGTTTTTCTCATACCACAGCATCACACATTGAGGGAAGATCATCTTTAATACATTACCCTCAGCCATCCAAGGTTGCAGGGTAACAAATTTGGGGGCTCGTCCGGGATAGCGCCTCCTGCTGGCTTGGTGCTATCCATCAAAGAACTGTGGGATCCTGACTTCCTGTTCCATGAGCTGATGACTTAAGGGCAAGACTTCAGGTATCCAGAGATGACGACGCTACATGAGCTTCAGTGGGAGATCCAGCAGCTGCTTCACCAACTGATGAAGGATGCCAGAAGAGACCTGCTTCACCAGCTAGCAGTTTCATGCCAAGATGAGGTGGGAGAAGACGTGCCAGAGGAGGAGTCGTCCGAGGTGGAACTCTTTGACTTTATTGTTGACTTTTTAAGAAGTAAACGATTGAGGAGTCTGGAGGACCAAGGGATGTCGCGCCTGCTGATGTTTCGTGACCTCATTGATGAACTGCAGTCAGCCCAAGAAGCAAAGAACTTGCATCATGCAGTCGATGAAGATGAAGTTGCATCGGTGTACGAGACTGAGCAGACTGTAGAAGCATCAGTGATGAGTAAGACAGTGTCAACACCAGTTGTTGCTGATCAGGTAACCGGGTTAGTAAAACTGACAGATGTTGCTGCATTACTCCCACGAAGAGAATTTCGTATTCATGCTGGTCAGATCTCAGATTCCGACTCAGATGTGAGCTATAACTCTTTGTGTAAGCAAATTGATGAATGATTGACTGAAGGTTTCACTGAGGCCGAGATCATTAGAATAGTTCTCAGAATAATTAAACCGGGTACATTTAAAGACATGCTGATTACAAAAGATAATCTGACTGTAACTGAGCTGAAGCGTTTTCTCAGAGCGCATCTTAAAGATAAGAGCAGTACTGAATTATTTCAGGAACTGAGCAACGCAAGACAATACGATAAAGAAGGTCCACAACAGTTTATGTATAGACTGATGGGGTTAAACCAGCGTGTACTTTTTGCTTCTAAAGCAAGCACAGGGTTCCAGTATGACAAGAAACTAGTTCAGGGAGTGTTCCTACATTCACTCTACCAGGGGATACATGAAAAATATTCATATGTCCGACGAGATCTTAAACCCCACATTTCAGACGAGAAGGTCACTGATGACTTTATCCTAGAAGTGATAACAAAGTCAGTAAGTGAAGACATAGAGAGACAAAACAGGCTGGGTCAGGCTATCAAACCAAAAACGGTCAGTGTCAGTACAGTGCAGATGGATAAGAAAAGTCAGAATGCAGTTCAGATGCAGGCAGAAGTCCAAGCTAATCGTACTGCCATACAGGAGCTAACAGCACAGGTTTCATCACTGACAAAAAGTTTAGAGAAAGCTTTAACACCTATGGTTAGTTCAAGGACTGGAAACATTCACCCACATTTTCCACATCAAAAACAGCCAGCAAAGTCAGAAGCTAAACGAAGATGTCAGCAATGTGTCTCCCAAGGAAAGGATAGCTGTAGCCACTGTTTCAATTGTGGGAAAGATGGACACAGAGCTGTTGGCTGTCTGATGAAGAACAACATGTCGGGAAACTGGATGAGGTCGCTGGGGCGGGACCACCAGTGACCAGAAAGAATGCAGAGTCCCACCCCACTGCAAAGGTGCATCCTCAAGCAGGAACACTATCCTCCACCAGGGCCATCAAACAAAACAACCTTACTAAGAAGAAACATGTTGCACAGCTGATTGGGGGTAGATGCACTGTGACATGCCAACTAAATGGGGCCAAATTACAGATGCTATTGGACAGTGGAGCACAAGTACGTATAGTAGAGAAGTCATGGGTGCAGAAAGCTCTACCAAATGTAACAATCCAACCACTTGAGAGTCTACTGCTAAAACACCCTCTCAAAGTCACAGTAGCTAATGGAACAGAGGTGCCATTTAATGGATGGATAGAAGTCCTACTCGAGCTCAAAAGCATCAAATATGGTTCAGTAGCTCTCTACGTTCCATTGCTTGTAAGTCAAGAGAGTCTGAGCAGCCCTTTGCTAGGCTTTAATGTGATACAAGAGATCATAATGGGGAACACTGACCAGAGAGACAACATCAACTTGGTGGACTTACTGTCAGAGGCTTTGAGAATCCAAAAGAGTAGTGTCGAAACTCTAGTCTCTATGGTTTACACTATGCCATCTCAGAAAGAATCAAAGAGTTCAACAGTGAGAGTTGGAAAGAAGGGTCTTAATGTTCAAAGTGGCCAAAACTGTGAAGTGAAATGTCGCATCAGAACTTTTCCAGGAGGAGGAGTAATGTTGTTTGAACCAGACATACAGAGCATCGTGCCAGATGGGTTGGAGTTATTCCCGGCTCTGGTTGACGTGCCTGTTGGAGCTTCAAAAACAGTGAGAATTCCAGTCCAGAATTCAACCAATCATGACATTTTCTTACCTCCAAGGACAGCTTTAGGATTCATTGAGGAAATTGATGGAACCAAACCTGTAAATATCTCTCCATCATCTCACAAAAGAGTCAGTGGACAGGATGATCCACTCTTGTGCACCACCCATGTGAACTCACTAAATGAAGGAGAGTGCACCCAAAAGAGAAACCATACACCTGTTTATTCACAAGAGAAATGGCATCCAAATGTCAATCTGGATCATCTCTCTGAGCATGAACAGGACATGGTACGCCAAATGTTGTATGAAGAATCAGATGTGTTTGCATCTGAAGAAGGCGCCATTGGATGCATTCCTGGTTTACAGCTCCAGATTAACACAACAGATAACACCCCTGTCCAAAAAAATTATAACTCCATTCCTCGGCCATTGTATAAAGAGGTCAAGGATTATGTTTCTAATCTTTTGAATAGAGGGTGGATCAGAAAGTCAGTTTCAGCCTATTCCTCACCTGTTGTCTGCGTGCGAAAGAAAGACCTCAGTCTGCGTCTTTGTGTTGACTTCCGTGAACTCAACCGTAAAACCACTCCAGACCGCCATCCACTACCACGCATTCAGGATCTTTTGGACAGTCTTGGAGGAAATTCATGGTTTTCCATTTTGGATCAAGGAAGTGCATATCACCAAGGGTTTGTGAGTGAGGAGTCAAGACATCTGACAGCATTTAGCACACCTTGGGGTCTTTACGAATGGGTAAGAATTCCATTCGGACTGACTAATGCACCAGCTGCATTTCAGAGATGTATGGAAGGTGTATTAGAAGGCATCAGGGATGAGTGCTGCGTACCTTATTTAGATGATGTCCTCTGTTACTCAAAAACATTTGAGGAACACGTGGACCATCTGAGGCAAGTTTTCTGCAGAATGAGACAACATGGCATTAAACTTCGACCAGCCAAATGCGAGCTTTTCAAGAGACAAATTCGTTATCTTGGACGAATGGTTTCAGGAGAAGGCGTCCAGATTGACCCAAAAGATTTAGAAGCTGTAATAGCTCTGAAGGAGAAGAAACCTCAAACAGTTGGAGAAGTTCGGACATTGCTAGGTTTCCTTAGTTATTACCGATCCTTCATCCAAGATTTCTCGCGACTTGCGAAACCTCTGTTTGAACTCCTTCAAAGCTCAGCGGACACAAGTAAGACCAACAAGCTCCAGACTTCGAAGGGTCGAGGTTGTAAAATTAAAGAAAACACAGGTCAGCTTCACTCTCGCGCACCTGTGGCATGGACGACTGAACATCAGACTGTGCTATCCAATCTTGTGGAGATGCCGATTAATCCGCCCATTTTAGCTTATCCCGACTTTGACCGTCCGTTTGTTTTGCATACAGATGCGTCAAATGAAGGGCTCGGAGCGGTTTTGTATCAGTCCCAAGACAACAAACTGCGTCTTATTGGCTACGGATCTAGGACCTTAACACCTGCTGAGCGAAACTATCATCTCCATTCTGGTAAACTTGAGTTTCTAGCACTCAAGTGGGCCATTTGTGATAAGTTTCGAGACTATCTGTATTACGCGCCAACTTTCACGGTCTATACAGATAACAATCCCCTGACCTATGTTTTGAGTTCTGCTAGGTTAAATGCTGTAGGTCATAGGTGGGTTGGGGAATTAGCCGACTTCCATTTTGATATCAAGTATAGACC